TTCTCCGCCATAATTGAATATCATAATAGTTGATATATTAAATTATCTACTTAAGGTATAAAGTTTTGTTATTAATTTAAGATTATTTTTGAAGTTGATTTAAATACTTAAGTCAAAAAGTTATATATATCCTTAGTTTTAAGGAATATTCATGGAAGGAACCCTCAGATAGATAGATAAATAGATGGATAGATATATAGATATTGACAACCAGAGTGCCAACATCTCACACATTGACAGCCTCAGTGCCAACACCTCACACGCCCTTGACACAGTGCTCTTGGTCGACTGTGGCAAGAGCTCACACAAAAGCAACTTGATAAAATGACTAAGGGTTGCTAGGGTCTTTCTCTCTCTCTCTCTCTCTCTCTCTCTCTCTCTCTCTCTCTCTCTCTGTTCATTAGCTCATAATGCCAACAGATGATTACATTTTTTACTTGGTAAAATTCTCATCGACAATTAAAACGAGACGATAAAATTCTGAGTAAAGCTAATAATCTGAGGTCAAGGGGAGGGAAGGGGGGGGGGTAGTGGTGTTCCTTGTGCTAAATTTGGTCTTCCTATTCAGTAGTTCCGTATAGCAAGGTGATAAATAGACTTACTTTATAGGCACTGTTATTGTGGTGGTGGTGGTGTTATTGAGGTGTGATGTTGTGTGTGTTGTGGTGGTGGTGTTGTCCTTTGGTGATCAAATGGCAGGATCCATAAGGGTGTTAGTCAGGGGAGTGTGTGTGTGTGTGTGTGTGTGTGTGTGTGTGTGTACATATGGGTGTGGGGGAAACGCTTATGATTACAAACCTGTATGATAATCCTTTACACCATTTACATTTTAAAACACTCATATACACACAAAATTAAAAACAATACCAGTTACATTAGGCAACAACACAACATACACTACCATGGAATGTACATTATTTATACATTATTCAAAACAGATTACAAATGAGCGTTTATTAAGGACATTGATTAACCAGATTAGTATTATGCTTACTGGTGAGGAATGAAATTAGATTTTTGCTCCTATAACTATTTATTTTCGAGCATCGGCGGGTAAAAATACTGTTAGTGTATGTAATTGAAGTTGTAGCCAGCAAAAACCCCGCCTGGTGGTGCTCACAATGGCTGGTATCACCGCTTTCTCTAGACTCTTCATATTAGGTTTCACAATAACAACACAAAAAGAAGAATTTTATGGCGAATGAATAGAATCTTCCGTGTTCACAGTGATGGAATCAGATTCTACCCACAGGTGGTTTTGGTTTCAGGTAAAAGGTAAAGTTTTGTGCGTGTGTGTGTGTGTGTGTATACCATTTCTTGCTCAGTCACCATAACACACACTCGGACAGTCACAGTAGACCACAATATATTTACAGGTTAATAGAAACACGCGCGAGTGATGTGAAGCAACGAACCCACAACACAACTGATGGAGGAGACTCAGCGGTCCGTGTCATCAACTGTAATTTGTTACGTACTGAGGAAATGTAATTATTAACGCTGACGGGCTCCAGTGAGTAGGATGGTCAGTATTGTTTGTGTGTGTTGGGAGAGAGAGCAGTGCCCCTTATGACACAGTGTAGGTAGAGAGAATAGTTCCCCCCTATGACACAGTGTAGGTAGAGAGAATAGTTCCCCCTATGACACAGTGTAGGTAGAGAGAATAGTTCCCCCCTATGACACAGTGTAGGTAGAGAGAATAGTTCCCCCCTATGACACAGTGTAGGTAGAGAGAATAGTTCCCCCTATGACACAGTGTAGGTAGAGAGTTCCCCCTATGACACAGTGGAGGTAGAGAGAATAGTTCCCCCTATGACAGTGTGGGTAGAGAGAATAGTTCTATGACACAGTGAGGTGAGAGACTAGTTCTCTATGACACAGTGTAGAGAGAATAGTTCCCCTATGACACAGTGTGGGTAGAGAATAGTTCCCCTTATGACACAGTGTAGGTAGAGAATAGTTCCCCTATGACACAGTGTAGGTAGAGAATAGTTCCCCTATGACACAGGTGTAGGTGAGAATAGTTCCCCCTATGACACAGTGTGGGTAGAGAGAATAGTTCTCCTATGACACAGTGTAGGTAGAGAGAATAGTTCCCCTATGACACTAGGTGACACAGTGTAGGTAGAGAGAATAGTTCCCCCTATGACACAGTGTAGGTAGAGAGAATAGTTCCCCCTATGACACAGTGTAGGTAGAGAGAATAGTTCCCCCTATGACACAGTGTAGGTAGAGAGAATAGTTCCCCCTATGACACAGTGAAGGTAGAGAGAATAGTTCCCCCTATGACACAGTGTAGGTAGAGAGAATAGTTCCCCCTATGACACAGTGTAGGTAGAGAGAATAGTTCCCCCTATGACAGAGTATAAGTAGAGACCAACGCCCCTAATACACTGTACACCACGAGAGAGTCCTTGTTTACCATGGCAAATTGGAACAAACAAAGGTAGAGTATTAAGCCCGTCAAAATGTGATCACGAACGTTATATGTATTTGTTGTAATAAACTTCGATATCAATTTATATATATACTACACACACACACACACACACACATACACACACACACACGCGGGACTCCATTCATCTCGCCTGGGTTTATGTGTTTCATTTTGCTGAACCAACACCCGGGTATAGTAGACCTTGTGATGATGGATTCTGATGGGCTGAATATGGTAACTCCTGTCTGGCGGTAAGAGAACATTGGACCTATTAGAGGCCTCGTGAACTACTGTTGATGAGATATGTAAAGCAACAGATTTCTAGGATTGTGTAAAATTTATTCCCCCGAGGGTCATGGTGTTTTGTATTCTTGTCGTATTAACATTACAAAAGAAGAGTATAGTGATTTGTTTAGTCTCAGGTTAATAGGTGTTGAAAATGGCGTCAGTCTTGATGGATGGACAATTGGACATGGGTGAGTTTCTGAAGTAATTACCATATAGACCAAGACTAAAAGGCTGACGGTGACAATTAGAAGGGTTAAAATGTAGGGAATCATCTAATTAGCTTGTTTGGAAGATGTTGCGGGAACGAGATAACACTAGAGGATAATTTACCCGCCTTGTGGTTTATATGGCGTCTCTTACGTGTTCTCGATATTGTGTTGTGGAAGAATTTAATCAGTGGATGTTTCTGTGTCTCATGGGTCTTCTCTCTTCTCCTCCCGTCCTCTCCTCTCCCCTCCCATTCCCCTCCCATCCTCTCCCCTTCCCTCCCTTCTTTCTTTCATGTCTTTGTTCTCCTCTTTCTGTTTCATCTTCTGGGTCTCCTCGCGTTTGTTCTGTCTATCAATCTTTTTTCTTCTTTTTTTCCTTATCCCTCCCCACCCTTCTCTCTCTCTCTCCATTTCGTACGCAGCAAAATTCTCTTCATTTTTTCTCCTCCACTTCATCCCATTTTCTGCACCATTTTCCCCATCATCTTATTTTCCCTGCCCAACCTTTCTTCCGCATTCAGGATTTTTCTTCAAGCCTTCAGAATATTCAACTGGTGTAATTCTCCATCTGTATAAGGAGCTGAAGCCGAAATTCCTTCATTATTTTTTGCAATATCTGGTGTCTATTTATGAGTTTCTTCAACATTTTGCTATATCTGGTGTCTATCCCTGAGGTTCTTCAACATTTTGCAATACAGTACAGTATATGGTATCTATATTTGAGTTCCTCGTCAGTTTGCAACATCATCTCAACATTTTTCCAAATCTGGATATATGTTTGTGAGTTTTCCCGACAATTTGCAACATTTCCTCAACGTTTGCAGTATCTGGTAACTATTTGTGAGTTCCCCCCGACACTTTATATGTTCTCTACTTGTGGAATATTAATGTGGCTGGTTAATGGTTGGTTAACGCTGCTTTTTATTATGAACTCTGTCAGAATAACAACGTAAAATAATGTGTCAAAGTGTCTGCAATAGAAGGGAAACCAGAGTAAATACAAGGTGTCAGAAAAATATAAACACACTGACGTAAGGATTTTCGTGATGGCGTGAATGTTTGTATAGTAACAGTAACATTGTCTTTCACGTGTTGATGCGCAGGTGTACATTGTTCCTTGATACTACAGGTGTACCATCAATGTACTCTATCAAGACAGTGCAAGTATACAAACAATATACCTAGACGGTGCAGGTATACAAACAATATACCTAGACGGTGCAGGTATACAAACAATGGTATTCAGTGAGGCAATTAAACCAGGAATACCCGAAGAAAATCCAGTTTTTTTTTTGTCTGGGTAACTGAGAGACTTTTCAAATACACACAATTTTCCCAAAATGAGGACCACATAACACAAAAGTTTTATATTTCGGGATGAGGAACCTGGATTTACATATTCCGTCATATAACCAGACGCTCCTTCAGGAATATATTTCAGGAGGGAAGGACGAGGGAGAGTCTTCTGTGGCCTTATGGGGGTCATGTCAGGGGAACACAGGTGGTAAGATGGTGTGTGTGTGTGTGTGTGTGTGTGTGTGTGTGTGTGTGTGTGTGTGTGTGTGTGTGTGTGTGTGTGTGTGTGTGTGTGTGTGTGTGTGTGTGTGTGTGTGTGTGTGAAACTTGACGTCAACATTACCCCCCAAAAGTCGCCGATCACATGACATACCAAATGAAAATAGAATTCAGTAAATAAAAGACTCAGAGGAATGTTCCGAAACGTTAACTGAGAGAAAGACAATGTTTACAGAGGTCAGGTGACGCCGAGTAAGCAATAGAGGTCATTGGGATGTGAAACTGTATATGGTTGAGGGAGCCTGGGTGGTGCTGGGTCAAGGTCACCTGTTGAGTGGTGATATATGACTTTTATCTGTTGTCTTATCGGGGGTTTTAAAGGTCTAATGTAGGATGGGTGTGGTTGTGGGTGTGGATATGGGTGTGGAAATGGGTGTGGTTGGGGGTATGGATATCGAGGAAATATGTTTGAAGATGTACTGTATATATGAGTAAAGGAAGGGATGAACTTACTGTCACCTAACCTAACCTATTTTTCATTATCTCAGGTGAGCTTCGCACTCTTCCTCAACATCGCCAGGGAGCTGCTGTTGAAGCTTAAGTCCTCCACCACACCTGAGAGTCGCAAGTACAGATACAGGTAAGGAATTAGTGTATTTTATCAGCAAATTTTCGGCTGGGTGCTTCTCTCTTAATGATTCCCTATCCTAGTGGGCCCCAGTCCAAATGGACCATGTCCTGTTAGGCCCCAGTATTAATGGGCGATGTCTTATTAGGCCCCAGTCTTTAACGTTCCCAATCATATTAGGCCCCAGTCTTTAATGGGACCTGTCGTATTAGACCCTAGTCCTAATGGGCCCCAGTTCTAATAGGTCTTAGTTTTAATGGGTCTTAGTGTTAATGGGTACAGTCCTAATGGGTTCCTATTCTTAATGGGTTAAAAATTACAATGGATCTCTCTTCTAATTGGTCCCAGTATGATATTTCTTTAATTGAATCTAGATTAGTGAACAGACAGACAGACAGACAGACAGACATAGACAGACAGACAGACAGACAGACAGACAGACAGACAGACAGATCGATAGATAGATAAATACTAGAACACATACAGGCACTCACAGAAAAATAGACAGGGGCAGACAAACAAACTGAATGGTAGACTGACAAACATCAGGCAGACAGACAGACAACAGACAGACAGACATCGATAGTCAAACTGGAAGACAGACAGACAGATAAATTGACAGACAAAATAGACCAAGGGAATAAGAAACACCCTGACTGATTCCCATCGATTGTAAGTTGAGTTGAATGTGTGTGTGTGTGTGTGTGTGTGTGTGTGTGTGTGTGTGTGTGTGTGTGTGTGTGTGTCTCTCTCTCTCTCTCTCCCTCGCTACAGACGGTGGGCGAGGTCGACGCTGGTGCTGGTGCCGCTGTTCGGGGTCCACTACGCGGCTCTCCTCGGCTTCACTTACTTCATGGGCAAGAACCACACCATCGAGCTCATGTGGCTCGTTACTGACCAGTTCTTCGCCTCCTTTCAGGTACAGTAGGTGATTGATGATCTGTCTATATGTTTGTCTGCCTAAATATCTATCTATCTCTATCTATCTATCTATCTATCTATCTATCTATCTATCTATCTATCTATCTATCTATCTATCTATCTATCTATCAAGTTGAAATATCCACTTATACGGGGGTTCATATCCTCATCTTACCTGCACAAGTATGCGTATGTATAATGATATGTATACAATAGGGGGTTTGTATACGTAGACATGTATATACTATTGTTCACTCTCTCAGGCCTTAAAGTGTGACCATAGACCCCCTCTTTCCTCTCACCTCTTTCTCTAGGGTTTCTTTGTGGCGACACTGTATTGTTTGCTGAACGCTGAGGTGAGGTCTGAGCTGAGGAAGATCTGGCACCACTGGCGGATGAACAAGGAGGCTGAGAAGAACATGAACTTCCACTCTGCGTTCTCTCAGTCGAGGAGTTACTTCAGGTGAGTCATGTCCTTCGTGTAGTGGAGTCGCAGCGTCGGTTCATGTCAAGTGGGACTCGATTTCTCATTATGCCAGAAATCTCGCATCATTAGCGTCCATTTTGAATAATTTATATTCAAAACTACAACCGCTGGCGGCCATTTTGAATACAGTATATACAGCGAGCGAGGAAGAGAGTATCGTACTACAAAATGTCAGTACTACAGAATATCTCCCGGGCAGTGACTTGAATCAGTGGTCTTCCAAGTATCGCTCATTTCCCTTCAGACAGGTGGTTGGTGACGATGTTGACGAAGTTGGTGTGATTATGTTGCTATGGTTGTATCATCCAAGAGAGAGAGAGTATATATATATATATATATATATATATATATATATATATATATATATATATATATATATATATATATCACCTTTTCATCTTTCACACTTTATATGGTTGAATAACAAAAACCTAAGACACATATGAGGAAAGATGACAAATAACTACACTAAAGACGACATAATAATACCAAGTACAAAAGGAATAAGACGTCCATTCACCTGAGCCTGTCAACAGGTAAAGTCCATCACGGTATAATGTTATTGTCTCTCCAAATGGATATAGATTTACCGAAGTGTGTATTATCACCAAGTCGCCGCCAGATAGGTGAAGGAAAGGTTAACAGAAGAGGTGGGGCGAGAGGTACACACACACACACACAGGTAACATGTTGTCAGGTAGATTCAACTCAGGAGTGATGTTTGTCATTAGTATTATAATTTTCCTTACTTGTGAGTCGTCTTGCCTACCACCACCATCACCACTACCACTTGCCATTATCAAGAAGGTAAAAACGTGTGAGATTATTTGCCAACTTAATTTCTCGCTTCCGTAAATAAGTTATTATGTATCACTAAAAGAAAAAATATTCGACTTTATTCACTTGTTACCCCAAAAGGTCACCTATTCTATACTTGTGTCGTTGAAAGATATTATTATCACCCACAGCCTCTGACGGGAGGGTGGGGGAGGGGGGGTTGGGGGATTTTGTGAGGGAGGGGTGTTTATTTCTTTCTGTGTCCAGGTATTTATGAACATCCTGGACAACTCGTGAATAGGTCGAGCTACTTAGTTTATACTTGATGTTGACTTTATCTTAGACTTGTTGAAGTTCACACACACACACACACACACACACACACACAGACACACACACACACACACACACACACACACACACACACACACACACACACACACACACACACACGTTAAGAATTTATTTATCGTCTATTATATTTTGATACAGTAAAATTAACCATTACAGTATTCATTGGCTTATTATAGAACATTATTCATTCATGACGCTACGCTGCATCACACTCATTATTATTCAGCTTCATGTTAGTATTCCTTCACTAACTTTAACTAGTTGTACGCTCACCTCTTCTGACTTGACTGATGGATGTTGCCTTCACTGTTTTGGGGATATTTTTGCTTGGCCTTCTATTTGACAAAAACATCAGTTGCTTTCTAAAGTGTGTGTGTGTGTGTGTGTGTGTGTGTGTGTGTGTGTGTGTGTGTGTGTGTGTGTGTGCCGTACTGTATCTCTGTCTTTCTCCCTTACAGCCGCGGTACAGGCACCCTCAACACAGCTCCATCAACAGGCCGCAAAAAGAACGGATTCCTCACTGGCCGGGGTAACTCCTCTAGCTTGCTGGTGGCGGCGACCTCTAATGTGAACGGCGCTACCACACGGGACAAAAACTGTCTCTCAGTCCAGGATAAGTCTCTCTACGATGACGTCAACAACCAGGTAAACACAAACAGTATATTGAGTGTGATTTTTGCATTGAGGGGAGGTGAGGAGGAAGGGGTGGGGGTGCTATTAATTAATCTAATGTAAAGTCTTTTATGATTATCTTGATGGACATTTTTTTTGGGGGGATTAAGGATGTAGTTTGTCTTTTTATTCTACACACACACACACACACACACACACACACACACACACACACACACACACACACACACACACACACTGCTGAAAATGTATGTTTTATTAAGAGGACACTTTCCTCAGTCTCCATCACTCCAACAACCTATTCTATTCTCCCTCCCTCCCTCCGTCCCTCCCTCTATCCCTCCCTTCATCAGTTCAACAACCCTTTCCGCTCCCCTTCCTTATCGCCCCCATCTCTCTCACTCCAACATTCGTTTAAAAAAATAAAATGATAAAAATTCCCACCATCACTCACACAAATTGCTTCTACAGTTCACTCAACCAATCACCTGTCACAACCAATCAACTACCACAACCGAGCTATCGAACCAATCGCTGTCATCCCATTCGGTCAATCTCTCAATCAGGCAAATTGACCTTATATAACATTTCAGTAAATTGCAACATTGGCCAAATATAGTCAGTCTGATGTACTCTATGCACTTCTTGACCTTATTGATGGAGGTTATTCTCACTTAAGGATTGTGATATTTAGGTTAGGTTAGGTTAGGTTAGGTTAGATATCCTCAAAATGGTTGATGTTCCGATATAATGACGTTATCATCTGTTTATTTTTCGTTTATGTGTATGTTAACTTCTGCTAGGCAAGATTGGATGTAGATAGCAAGAGTAGAAGAAATAAGGAAGAGAGAGAGAGAGAGAGAGAGAGAGAGAGAGAGACTAATCCAAAGTCTTCCAGAGTGGATAAAACAACGTAAGAAAAAACACATCCAATTAGCATCAGAAAAGATTGAATGAAAGAAAGGAATAGGGAGGAAAAAAAGCAAAGATGGAAGGAAAGACAAAAAATATGTTAAAAGTGTGTTAGAGGCAAGAGTAAGTTGACCAGGAGAGCGAGATGAGGTAAGGGAGAAGTGAGGAGGAAGAAGGAGGAGGATTGGAAAGGAAGAGGAGGAAGTAAAAGATAGTAGGTAAGAGAGAGTAAGAAGTAGAAGGGAGGAATGAGGAGGAAGGAGTGAAGAGGAAGGACTGAAGAGGAGAAATAGAAAGAAGGAGGAGAAGGAGGAAGTAGTGAAGTAGAAAGACTAGGTAGGAGGAGGAGGCGCGTGACAGACATCATCTATCACACGACTATAACAATGTAAGCCTAGCAGCTCTAGCGAGGCACCTAACACACGTGTGGCTCTGTGAGAGATTAGTAGTGGGGGGAGGAAGAAGGGAAAGGGGAAGGGAGAAAATAGGATGATTATGGGAGAGAAGGAGGAGGGGAAAACGGTCGGTGGTTTAAGGGAGAGAAGGAGGGAAGGGGGAAAATATGATGATTATGGGAGAAAGAGGAGGGGGAACAGATGTAGATGGAAAGAATGAATGAGGGAGAAAGGAATAGTGCAGGGGAATGATGAGTGAGAGATCCTCCTCCCTCCCTCCCTCCCTCCTCCCTCCCTCCCTCCTCCCTCCCTCCCCTCCCTCCCTCCCTCCCTTCCCCCATCCTCTGTTGTATGGTGAGTGCTTTCAGAAGCTTCGTTGCCAGAATTAATTTTGGGGAGCGTCTTCGTGGAAGCAAATACTGAGGCGTGTTGGGTAGTGAGTAGCACCTGACTGATGAAGCCTGACGAAGCAAAATGATGCCTGATGAAGCGATACGATGCCCGTTGAAGCCTGACGAAGCAATACGATGCCTGACGATGCCTGACGAAGCAATACAATGCTCGATGAATGTAAACACTAGTATCGCGAGGAGAAGTGTTTAACATGGGCATACCGTAAATTCATTGTCCTGATGATGAAAAATTTGTTAGATTAGGTTAATTTTTTTTTCATTTGAGTTTAGGTTATGTTATTTTAGATTAGGTTTGATCAAGTTGATTTAAGTTAGGCAAAGTTAATTTTGGTTAGGTTAAGTTATTGTTTTCATAGTAAAAACACATTATTTGCCTTCTGACCATCACCAGGAGGAAGACTTTGTTAACCCTGTGTCCCTATCTCTCCCTCAGTCAGTGACTCTCAACCTGGCAGTGGTAGAGCTACAGCAGCCACCAGACCCTCACCACACTGACGCCTCCTCCACCACCCACCACACCTCCTCCTCCACCTGGCAAAACACACCACCCAATGGAGGCGACCTGGAGTGTGCCCTCGTCCTCCATCCACTCACCCACAACGCCCACGTTACCCATGAGGCCACCCCACCAGCCCAGGACGCCATTAGCTACGTCGAGGATGGTCCCCAAACTTGCACCACTTCCACCCAGGAGTCTCGCGAAGACGTGGGTTCGGATTCAATGTTGGGAGATCTTCCGCCTTCCTCCACTATCATTTACGACACGGCCGAGTCCTGTGAAGGTTCGCCGCTCCTGGCCAACGCCCCCCGCCTGGCTGAGAGCACCTTCTGAGACTCCTGCAGACGATGCTGGGGAGTTGGGGTAGGGGACAATATAGTATGTCGTACAGTAGCTACAGGTCCTGATAAACGCTCGGATTTGTTATTTTTAGTTAATATATTTTCTTTCGGAGACGTTTTCGAGTCGGTTCTTGAAACTTGACGATCTGTGTGAGTGAAACTAATGAATGTGCTGAAAGAAATGTTTTTTTTCTTTTAATTACAGAACAAGTTAGGAGTTGATTTTATAGTAGTACATGTAGTATTAGTATATGTAGTAAACTGTATTATGTATCCACTACAATAGGTGCGTCAGGTAATACAATAATTAGATCGTGTATTTCAATGGTGCTTAAAAAAATCGCTGTATATTTCTTGACTATCTTGTACAGTTTTTATATAAGGACAACAAAGGTTAATTTACTTCTTCAGGAACTCTGTGGGCGTCCTGCTGGAGTGTGTGTGTGTGTGTGGGGAAGGGATTCAGTGTTAAGAGGAGACTACTGGACTCACACCAGGCACCTCACATCAGCGTCAGTAGTATTAGCGTGGTGCTTATGACCGATGCCCTGTTTACTAAAATTTGGCTTAGCAAAAACTGCATTATAATTCACCATGAGACTTTACTATGCTCGAGTGTTGAGTGTTATAATGATGCTGACATTAAGTGCTATTTATTTTTTGTTATTGTTCCTGTGAGGCCTTGTGTCTGCGTGAGTGTTTGATGTCATTAAAGACTTAAGCTCCTTAAGTCTTTAATTACATCAGACACCGTTACATAACTCTCAGATAATTAACCTGTCACGTGTAGCAGCGTATTTGACCGAGTTAATTGCTAACATCTATGACATTTCAAAGAGACGAGGAATTGGTCCTGTGTGCGGCGTTACAATGTTGGTCCCGACAGATGACGTTCCTAAACCCGTGTGTGTGTGTGGGGGGGGGGGCACTGTAATTAAGTCACCTGTTTGATAGGTGTGCGTTCCAGGTTTCACGTCATGTCATGGTGAATAACCTCGAATGAATAAATCCCACAATGAATGAGTATTACATCAGTGAAATATGATAGGCAATAAGAGTAATTTCTGGATAAAGGACCAATCCCACTCACACTCTCGCGAACCTGTTTTGTTTGATGAAGGTTTGACAATAACAATATAGTTTACCTTTTGGATGTCAGAGAGAGAGAGAGAGAGAGAGAGAGAGCACACATCCACAAAAGGTAAACTGCCCTCCTCTTGATTCTCTCAAGAAACTCGGAAATAAATAACCTTATAAAAACAAGATACACTCTAAGTTGGTTTCTTCTGTGAACATTACTTAAGGTTCCGTTCCCGAGAGAGAGAGAGAGAGAGAGAGAGAGAGAGAGAGAGAGAGAGAGAGAGAGAGAGAGAGGCGTGTCTTAGGAAATGATATGGATAGGGAGAGCTAAGAAAACGTATTTGAGAAGGAGAAGGAAGGGAGAGGAAGGAATGACAAGAGTATGAAGAAGGGAGAATGACAAGAGAAAGACCATTAATACTGCAAATAATAAGATGTCTTACCAATGTCTAAAGCTCTCTCTGTCTATCTCTCTTTATTTCTCTCATTCTCGATCCATCCATCTATCTCGCCATAATTTTTTAAATCGAAGAACGCGTCAGTCAGAGTATCGGGGTAGGGGGTAGGCGAAGTGGTTATCCCGTGACGGTCACTCAAAGGTAAAGATCAGGATCAAGGTTCGATTATTACTGGGTTTTTTTTCTCCGACCTAAATTAATACGACACGACTCTGGGTTGAACACTAAAAGATCTCACGTCAATATGAAGCAGGATTTGAGATCTGCCTTAGTGCGAAATCCTCAGTTAAATAAAAAAACGAAATCATATGAAAAATTCCCACTTTGTGTTTTCGAAAGTTATGGTTACTTAAAATTTTTTTTTGGGGGGGATAGATATAAAAAAACATATATGAATAACATTATATAAGATTATTCCGGGTATATATATTTGTATAGACCCAAATATTTGTTAGAAGTCTTTATAGAGGGCCACCACCTGTCTGGCTATGACTGAGGGATGTGTTGCTCCTCGCACGAAGACGAGAGGAACGAGATTATTTTTTTCATTTTGTTTATGGCTATAGCAAAAAAAATTGGACGAGTTTGGTTATGCGACACCTTGTATGTTTACATACTACATATGTGTATATAGTTGGATGAGTAACAACAAAGTGCTAAGCCACTTTCCAGTATACATTGAGTTGAAAACCTTTATTTACGTTTTAAACTCGTAAAATAACTTCGGTTTAAATTAGTATATATTTATTGTGGCTGAGTCATGTGAGTAGGGCTGTCAGTGCCGGCTATATTAGTGTATGTAACTGTGTACCGTTATATTAGTAACATAACTCGAGAACGGGGGAAGCTACGGTGTTCAAACTCAGCGTATATTTTCACCATGGTACCGCCTAGAGCTGTTAAATTGAACGTCTTAAAAGGTCAAAGTTCAGAGTAACAAATTCAACAAACTGCTACACCTTCCATGAATTTGGCTCCTCGGCCGAGTTCAACCGAGTTTTTCGTTGTTTTATGTACCAGTGACCTGCAGTGGTGGTAATTTTGTATATACTATTTATATATTCAAAGTATAAATACCAACCAATTAGGTCTGAGGGTTGGACACCACAGCCCACCACTCCAGCCTGAAATATTATATGTGTGGAGTGTTAGTATAGAACAGATACTATTTTACTTACTGTCATAGCAGGTGTCCGGTAATGAGTATAAACCTCTTTATAACATGTGACTTTGATTACGGTTTGTTTACGTGTGTATGTTTGTGGCTGTGTATATATGTAACGTGTGTGCATGTTTGTAGCTGTGTATACATGTAACGTGTGTGTATGTTTGTGGCTGTGTATATTTGTAACGTGTGTGTATGTTTGTGGCTGTGTATATTTGTAACGTGTGTGTATGTTTGTGGCTGTGTATATTTGTAACGTGTGTGTATGTTTGTGGCTGTGTATACATGTAACGTGTGTGTATGTTTGTGGCTGTGTATATTTGTAACGTGTGTGTCTGCTATTGCCATATATCCATTAATAATAACTTTTGTTAGTATATAAGGTATTTAATTTATATTGGAAGAAAAGAAACATTACTCGTTTGTCATTTGCTGTAAATACACATTCTGGCATAAACTGAAGTTCTGAACAGGTGTCGGGGGGAGGGGGGAACACGTCTTGACATGATTTAGACGGGTGTCGGGGTATGAGCACATCACAACATGATCTGAACATGACAACAGACTTCAGGGGTATTATCCAAGTTGTAACAAGAATTAAATATATGTCGGGGGAATATGGACACGTAGGATACAATGATATGAGTCAGTGTTTAATATTAGAAAACTGGTGCTGTTCTTTTACTGAGTTTATTTCGCTATCGGAGAAATTTAAAGAACATTTTTTTAACCCCTAGAGTACGATGACCTAACACCTTCAATGCGAGTGTGCTTCATGAAACGACAACAATGAAAATAACACTCCTCCTCCTCCTACTACTACTACTGCTATTATTACTACTGCTACTACTACTACTACTACTACTACTACTACTACTACTACTACTACTACTACTACTACTACTACTAATAATAATAATAATAATAATAATAATAATAATAATAATAATAATTCTTTTTGTTTTCTTTTAAAAAAAACTTTCTCACACACACACACCAAGAGGCCTGTTGGGATGGTATAACGTTAGGTCGTTATGTAACCCAGATTCAATTAACACCAATCCCTAATGGGCACCAGTAGTCCTAATATAACCCCAATCTAACCTAAATTAAACTGATCATTAAATTTGGGATCTAGTTGCGTTGGAGCCCAGTCGTAAATGGGCCCCAGAACTAGTGGTTAAGTTAGGTTGTGGTCTCTTAGGTTTGGTTATGTTACGTTAGGATGAGAGGTTAGGTTAAGAGAGGTTAGGTTAAGAGAGTAAGTAGGGTTTAGAGAGAAGAAGTTTAGAGAGTGTTAGTTTAGAGATAAAAGTCAGGTTAAGAGAGGTTAGGTTAAGAGAGGTTAGGTTAAGAGAGGTTAGGTTAAGAGAGGTTAGGTTAAGAGACGTTTGGTTAAGAGACGTTTGGTTAAGAGAGGTTAGGTTAAGAGAGGTTAGGTTAAGAGAGGTTAGGTTAAGAGAGGTTAGGTTTAGAGAGGTTACGTTAAGAGAGGTTAGGTTAAGAGAGGTTACGTTAAGAGATTAGGTTAGGTTAGGTTAGGTTAAGAGAGGTTACGTTAAGAGAGGTTAGGTTAAGAGAGGTTACGTTAAGAGAGGTTAGGTTGGGGTTTATTAGGACTGGGGCCTCACACGTCACACGCTCGCTAAACATATCTCATTGAAAAAAAGGGACTCATAATTTTAATCAGCTATAAGGATATGCTTACCTGGTTATAGAAGTAATTATCGTAGCGTGTTGTGTGTGGCGTTGATCACCTGGTCAGAGTAATGTGACAATTGTTGTGTAATGTGGCTGTTGTCCTGTGTGTGTGTGTGTGTGTGTGTGTGAGAGAGGAAGAGAAGGGGTAAGTGTGTTTTATTATATTTATGTATCATGTATGTATATATATGTATGCTCGTGTGTGTGTGTGTGTGTGTGTGTGTGTGTGTGTGTATTCTCCTTCATCGTGTATTAAATAGAGTGTATATTTTTCATAGTAAATAAGTTTATCAAATAATTCCTCATAATCTATCGGTGGTTCTATTCTGTAATCCTTCGTCTGGCGTTGAGTTTGGCGTTCAGTCTGGCGTATCTTTCCACGTTCATTCGTGTCTCCAACGTGGGATGTACAGCTCACCTGGTCATTAAAGTCACTAAGGTCAAAGGTCACTTAACTGCAGGTGACTTAGGTGAACATTTTTATATCTGTTTAATTACTTCACTGGTGGAATTTTTTTAATCCCCCCCCACCCTCCTTCTTCCTCTTCCTCTTCTTCTTCTTCTCCTCCTCCTCCTCCTCCTCCTCCTCCTCCTCCTCAGCTCACGGCTCCTCACCACCACAGGAAGACAACTATGTATGTATGTCGCTCTGTGTTTTATGTTCAAAATGATGTTATAATTTGTAATAAAAGTACCAATGTGTAAAGCATAAAGGTGAAGCGTTTTATTACATTTGCTCTTGTTTGTTGTTGTTGTTGATTAACTTGTTCATGGTATTCTCTACTTGTTATTGATGTGTTCTTCTTATATCTTCTTGTCCTTGTTCTTCTTGTTCTTCTTTAGCTATCAGTTAACATAAGACTAACATCAACTTTCTAATTAGTCTACCCTTCATGGGAACCTTTTTCAACCCATCAACAAAACACTAATTAATTATCCTCTCTCTCTCCTAAACCTCTTTGATGTCAACAAGATCAGTAATATTGTCAGGGTTTATTTTCTTAAGGTAAATCTTTTGTGAACCAAATTAACAACGATAAAAGAGTGTTTGGCTTGATGACGTCATAAAGACTCGAGGGATCACATGTAAAAATAATTATTTCTGAACTGTTTGGTGCGTGGATTATTTTTTCTGGTCTGTGATATTTTATTATTTATTAGTAGTAGTAATAGAAGTAATAGAAGTAATTTTATTATTACCATCAAGAGAGAAAGGGGGGAGGGGTGGGGGATAGATAGATAGGAGAGGGGGGTAGATGGATAGATGGCGAGTGGGGGTGAGATAATGAGGGGGTGGGGGATAGATAGATAGAGAGGGGTGGGGATAGATAGATAGAGAGGGGGTGAGAGATAGATAATGAGAGGGAGAGCTAATTATCGTGCCAAAACTTAATTAACAGTAATTAAGGGAGTTAATCAAGGACAAACAAGGCTTGGATGTTGCTCTCGGTCCTGAGTGAAGAATGGAATATAATTAACAGTGATCACAAAAGTCTTAGTATCATAATCTTACGACAATAACAATCTATTTTCAGGTGACCGCAAATTCACCTTAAAAAGATTTATTGGTCTGATTATTAATTTTGGGCTTTGGGGGAGAACAGGGGGGGGGGGGAAGTTGACGGATGGAAGATAGAGAGAGAGCAGGAGGAGGGAGTGAAGGGGAAAAGGGGTGGGGTATAGGCAGGGCAAGGCAGGAGGAGAGGAGAGAGGCAGGGGAGACGGGAGAGAGAGATTCATGAGATGGAGAGGAGAGAGGCAGGGAGATGGGGAGAGGAGAGAGGCAGGGAGATGGGGAGAGGAGAGAGACAGGGAGATGGGGAGAAGAGAGAGACAGTGCAGGTATACTAACAGTGGTAAACCATAAAGATGTTAGAGTGTAGTAGTAGTCAAACCATCTTATTCTCTCTTTCTCTTCCTGTAATACAAGCGCGGGCACTGTTGACGACAAGGTAACACGTCATCACCTCAGTCCACACAACTGCCTCACTCCCCTCACCTCCTCCCCCTCCTCTCCCCACCTCCTTCAACCACCTGCCACTGATCGGTTCTCTGTAAAGGGAAGACCCACACCATCCAACCTTCGATAGGGATATTGCCAAGTCCATTTCTAAATTCCAGTCACCATTCCCAGAGGCCAATTCTACAGATCGAGGTCATACCATTTTGCGGGGGGTTATTCCAGAATCCATTCCTGATTCCATGGGATATTCCAAATGTCATT